ATATATATATATCTTTAAACTGAATTGCAATGCAGTTAATGAAATAATTACGCATGCAAATCATATGGCCATCATTTTATTTAACTTTCATAATTAAGCTGTCACATTTTTTTTAAACTAGCTTTCATTATTTCCTTTAAGTTATAAAAAAACTTCTAATTTACAACACGTTCTAAATATAATGTCTACACTCATTCTCCACCTTCTTCTTTGAAATTTTCACCTTACATTATTAACGGTTTAAAGCGGCATTTTATTATTGTATTTTTCAGATTATTCATTGATAGGGCTGTCAAAACGGCTTGTTGTTCGCGAACAACTCATGTTCGGCTCGTTCGCTAAGTTAACGAGCCGAACATGAGCAACACAAATAAATATTTGTCCGCATGTGTTCGGCTCGTTTTTGCTCAAAATACAACTAATCAATTATATATATATCTTTTATGAGTAGTACTTTTAAAAATTTTAATTGAATACAAGGCTACAAAGATTTACAATCAATTAAAAGTATTAATGAAGAAAATAGAATAAAAATTATTAAATTAGATTCAAATGATGTTTTAAATCTTGCCTCAATCCTTAACATCTTATGGCTATGTGATTAGAGTTGTCAAAACGATTTTTTGTTCGTGAACGGCTCGTGTTCATCTCGCTAAGCAAACGAGCCAAACACGAACACACTTTTTGAGCTCGAAATATAAACGAGCCGAACACGAGCTGAGCCCCTATTCATTGATATATATTCAATTGACTTATTTCTGTCTATTTATAAAATACTTTTCTTATATTGAGAACTTATCTTCATACTATAAGAAAATATAATCCTTTATTTATTTATTTATTTAATTAATTATTTTGTTTTTTGTGTGGATGCCCAGTTGACAATTTATACAAATTTTAAAAATTCCAAATTTTTTTGTATTTTCCATGGGAAAAAGTTCCACGTGGAAAACAGTTGGACACTTTCCCCTTCCCTCTAGTTCTCCGTCTTTCAGTCGCCTCTCATCAATTTATTTATTTATTTATTTTCATAAAATGAGTAGAAAATTAGAAAATCTATGGCTCGAGGTAATGATTTAAAAAAAACATTTTCAATAAGCAGTCAACTTATCGTCTTTTATTTAATTTTCGTTTTCAGTATTTAGATTAAATTTAATTGTTGGTCAGTTTATATATATATATATATATA